TAATTGTCCAGGCTAATTTCATTTTACTGTAATTCATGGACTGTGGCATTGGTTGGAATAACAACAAGCACTGCCCTTGCTCTCTCAAGCGCAGCAGAGGAATTGGCTGGATGGTCAGAAGTGCTTAGTGAGCCTCCCCACCCCCAGCTGAGGAAGTTTGCAACTTGGAAAAAAAGGAGATGGTCAGATCTGAGCTCATGGCCACTGCATATTTACAGGCAACTTTCAAATCTTTAACTTTTAAATATGGGGTGCCTTGGTGCAAGAAACAGCAGGGAAGCTCTAGGTGTTTTGCCACTGTGGGTGAGTGGGTGTGGGTGGGTGTCAGTGTCAGATTCTCATCTGGATATTCCTGAAGTATAGCTCCTTCCCTAGTGTTAGGGATTAGCCATTATATTGTGCAAGTTAGGAAGCATCATGCCAGAAGCAGCTCTAAATTATTTTCAGCTGTGCACTTGTTTCAGTCGATACAAAAAGACCAGGAATAATAGTAGCAGTAGAAATAAATAACTAAACAAGCAAACAAGTAGTGTGACATGGATGCAAAGGTTCTGTCCGTCCTCTTGCACACAGAAAATTCTCACTTGAATGATTTAAAGCAGGGACGGCCAACTTCCAAGAGACTGTGATCTACTCACACAATTAAAAATCAGGTCAAAGTTGTTAAGCTTTTTTAGGGATGAACGTCCCGTTTTTTTGGGGGGGGAGGTTCAGGACCTGTTGGACATCCCTGATTTAAAGTATCACCTAGTGGCTCAGAAGCAAATTGCTGCTGCGTTCTAAAAAGTACCTGACAGAGGCAGCAGATCTGCCTCCTACCCCTGTTGGCCTCCTCCTCTGCTGTCATCTGTCATGGCCACCCTTCTGTGCAGGGCGCCATTTTGAAAACCTTTGTGGAATAAGAACTTACTGACTTTGGCTACTGGGGGGGGGGACAACTCCTAAATTGCGGGTCTCCAGAGATACAGAGGATTCAGAATACTTCTATATCATCTGCTAGGATTTTATTTCTTATGTTTTAGACTTAGGTGCCCAGTGTTCACCCACTGTCTATGCCAGCTTAGAAAATAAGGATGTCTTGCTTTATATTGGGTGTGTTGCCACTACTTTTTCTTTTTTCGTATGGGGTGTGACATAATAAAAACATTTTGGAGGTCCCGAGCCTCAAGGAGGTTAGATTGGTTTCAACTAGGGCCAGGGCCTTTTCAGCACTGGCCCCGACTTGGTGGGCCTGCAAGATGGAGCTGTTTTGCCTGGCCTTTGGCTTGGACTCACTCTGGCCCCTTATGTGGGATTTGGTATATAAATTTTCCCTTGGCTTTTTTGCTGGCTCGTGTAGGACCAGCATGGACAGCTGGCTCGGGTGAATATCTTGTTTCCTCCCTTTATGGTCTTGATTTTGGGCTACTACTAAAATGAGGCTGCATTTTAAGCTATATTTTAATTTTTTTCTATTACATTTTATTGTAATTTATATTCGGTGTTAGCCGCCCTGAGCCCGGCCCTGGCCAGGGAGGGCGGGTATAAAAAAAATTTAATTATTTATTTAGCTTTGCTATGGCACCTAGGTATTGTGAGTTATGGCCATTGTGCTTCATTAAAACGTAAAAAGAGGGAGGGGAGAGTTCTCCCCCCAAACCAAACCTGAAATGACTCCCCTCCAGCAGAAAGAAAAGCAGTTCAGCTCTTCAGCCTTAATGAACTTCATTGCACCCTCCATGGCACTTTGTCCCAGGTATTTAGCAGGCGTTGTGCACTCCAGTTTGGAAAGGAGGCAACTCTGAGAGCGAAGTCAAATGAAGGCAGTGCATTAGTCACACCAACCCCTAGCTATCTTGTGGTGTTAAGTGAAAAATTAGCAGTTAGGTGATGGCTCCTCAGGAGGCCTTTGATCCTACTGTGACTGTAATGAGACAAAGTGAATGGATCTCAAAAAAAACGAGCCTTGTAGAAATGAACAGGCAGAATATCAAAGGTCTTTTCTCTCTCTCCTTAAAACAGACTGAAGCTAAATTAAATGCATTTCCTCCAGTTTCTGTTAAAACAGCTCAACTTTCATGCTGTCAAGTTTGCTGAGGGCGGGGAAGGCTAGGCAGGGGCATTGCTGAGCTGTGATATTTTTCAAATATTAGGCTAGTAGCCCATTTTCAAAAGAAATTGAACTTTTTAAAAAAAATAATGTATATATATTTCATTATCTACAGAAGTGATTATCATCTCATGTAGCCTCAAGGTGAATATTGTAAGACTCATAGGAAGCTGGTGGGGTTGCTTTGCTTATGAATATATAATTGACAAGCTCTGGTCGAGACCTGACTTGCCCATTGCTAGTGCATGTTTGCGCTGCTTCTCCTGTTTGCTGGAAATGGTTCTTGGCAATGAGGGCTGCAGGATCCTCCATGGAGGACGCAGATTTGTTTCACCACTAGTACCTTCCAGGGCTGGACAGTATATCAATATATTGTCCAAAACCAGTTTCAAGTCCATATCATGATTTCAGTTTCATATTTTTTGACCTGGCAATATATTGCAAATCATGATGTGTGTGTGGGCACGTGTGCTGTGCAAAAATCACATGGGGGGGGGGGAACTGTGAACCTGGGCAATGCTTCTACATTGCTTCATCCTTATATCAAACATTGTGATATATCACCAGCTAAACACTGTATTATACTGATAATCATGGAGTTGATAACCAGCACCATCCTTATTTCAGACATTGTGATATATCAATATATCACGATGTTTATTTGGTGATATATTGCAGTGTTGAAAGCCAGATGTTGCTCTGCCCTACTATCTCCAAGATCTGCATGTCATATTTTCCTATGGAAAATGGCCAATTTATGAGATCTATCCATGACAGTAGAATCCCAGGGGGTTGCAAACAAACTATCTCTAAATGAGAAGCAGGATGCTACAGGCATTGTTTCTGATGGTCCCCCTTGATCAAAGGAACTGCTCAGAAGGGAACATGCTGCCTTTTCCTTGACTATGATGCTTTTAATAGTTGGCTTTATGGTTTGCAAAGCTTGCTACAAGCAGAAGTCAAACCAATGCTATAAACCAGTCCCTGTGCACCTATCATTTGGGGTTGGGGAGGCACACGAAAGCCTGAATTACACAACTGGCAGTGTAGGCTGACTAGATGGCTGTCTGAGCCTCGATGTTATCAGTTGCCTGAAAAAGGACCAGAGTAAACTTGGATTCAGTAATCAGCACTTCAGGTACTTGAAGCTTTATAGTTGGCTAGGATAGGGACTACAAGGCATATCTTTGAGCCGGCTCAATGTAAGGTTATATTTTGATCCTCAGCTCTTGAGTGCACCCACAGGACCTTGCCTGGGAAGGGAACTCACTACAATTCAAGACAACATGGAGCAGACATAGGCAATAGGTTTACAAATTGCCCGAATTACATACGGAATGTATAACTTGAGAGCACTTCCAACAGGCATGAAAGGCTGCCCAGGGCAGGCTGGCCAGTCTTCATTTAATGGATCTGGGAAACCAGGTTATTGTGCAGAACTGAAAACCTAACAATTGATAACCCCACCCAACAAATTGAAATTCACTCACAGTCCTGCATACTTTCACAGATGCTAGTCCCAGTTAAATTGCATCACTCATTTTCAAGTATTAGCATGTGGTTCAGAATTTTTGAACAGGGAAAGCAGTAGCTTAGGGCAGAGCATCTGCTTGGCATGCAGAAGGAGCCACGTTAAGTCCCCAAGTAGGGAGAAGGACACTTCTTGTCTGAAACCCTAGACAGTTGCTGCCAATCAGTGCAGACCAGTGCTTCCCAATTAGCTAATGACTGAGGACCCCCTACTTTTGAAAATTTAATAATTCTATTGTAGTTACGTCTGCAAAGCAATTTTTTGAACAAAATTTGGGGTAGCCCCTAATAAGCAAAGGATTTTAGGTATACTAAAAAAAAACAGACCATAAAATTTGTGATATTACCATGCAAAAATGACAAAAAATAGTTGGGGGGAGGCAATGGACGGGGCCGCAGACCCCAGGGGTCCCCGGACTTCAGTTGGGAACCACTGGTGTAGACAATAAGGAACTGACTCTGTATAAGGAAGCTTCCTGTGTCCTATGAGTGACCTTGGGGTCCCTTTCTATAATTCTAAGTTGGACCAAAAAGATTTCAAAAACTCTGTGAAGATGGATAAGAGCTCTAAGTAATGCTGTCTAGTCTCATTCTAATCACAAGATTTGCCAAGTCCCAGTTGTAATGTCTGTTTAAAGTGGTATGCTACTGCTTTTAATTCATAGTGCAGATGAGGCCTTGGTGCAGTGATGGTAGTCTATTGCTAAAGGTGTGTTTTTAGGACCTAGGTTAAAAACAGTGGCAGGTTAGACCCAGTCTAATGTGAATTAAGCAGTGATGGCAAGGAGAGGAGAGTTTGGTGCATGCCCCCACACTCATCTACTGTTGCCGCCTTATCTAGCCAAGGATCCTCTGCCTTGAACTAAAGGTGGCAAATGCAACCCCGCCACACCTCACACACCCTTCTTCTCCTGGTGGGGCTTGGGGGGGGGGAGAGAGAGCTATGAAGGCAACATCTAGGGATGTCTCATGTCCTGGTGCATTTGACTCAAGGGAGGTTGAAGGCGGCAACCTTTGTCAATGTGGCCAAAAAGAAAGAATGAGAAAGGAAGGGTGTGTGAATACATTTTAAGAAGTGTGTATTTAATAACCTCCATTTGGCATTTTGGGCTCTTTACGAAGATCCAGAAAGTAATGTAAAACACTAAAAATATCATACTATGCCCCCTGTTCAGTCCTCTATACAGTCTCCATTTATATCAGTGCATTATGGGAAAGCAAGATAGTCCTAATCATTTTGTTTATTTGTTTAATAGGAGGCTGTTGGGCATTTCCCACTGTGTCACAGACAGCCATGCTCTGAACGATAAACTGGCACTGAAATGTAGATGGTTGACACTGCAACTGATGCTTCATAAGCTATCCACAGAGGCAGCATGACTGTGAATCACCACCATGAGAGAGTCGTCTTGTACGCGAGTGAGGGCATCCCAGTGCCCAGCAATGGAAGACTTTGGAATCAGTCAATAAAGTGCCTTCAGCTGCTCCCGCTTTGCGTTTTGGTCCATTAGAGGGTGGAGAAAGGTCACTTGCTCTTACGTTGATCCGGGGTGGTAGTAGTGAAGAGACAAAGAACTTTCTGCTGATACCGGCTTAACAGGGAGACGCAGAACGCTGGCTTGGAAGGCCTTGTCTCTTGCCCTCCTGTCTCCAATCGAGCATTAAGAGCCCCAGCATCTTCCCCCTATCAGACTTCGGACTCTAGGCTAGAGATTCGCCTCCACGATCTTCCTGCGTAAGGGCTGTGCATCCTCTGGGTGCTCAGGAAGTCTCTCCGCTCAGTATTGACCATCTGAAGAAACGTTGGGTCCACCCTGCTGCGGTCCCTGTAGTCTCTGTAGGTGCTACCAAAGTACATGGTCCTCTGGCCATCCTGGTGGACCAGGAAGTCCCTGCTGCAAGGCGACCAGGGAGCTCGGCTGAAGCAGTGCTGGGTGGCACTGGACTGTTCGCACAGCTGCGGAGAACCTGGGTAAAGGCGCCCCCAGTAGATAGGCAGGTTTGTGTACGAGTTCATGTAGGCATACTGCTTGTGCACCACCGTGGAAGAAGCCTTGTGCACGCCTGAGCTGTTGTGTAGGCAGGCCTCCCGGTACGAGGGGAGCCTCGTGGACTGCGAATGCAGCAGCCGCTGGTCCTTCCAAGGTAAGCCGTTGGCCTCCACACACTTCCTATTGCATGTATAACTTGGCCTAAGGGCACCGGGAGGGTAGGAATGCGTTCCAGGCACTGACATTGTTTTTGGAGCCCGGCCAGCTTTGGGGAAGAGGTCTGGCACATCCCCATAGGCTGAGGACTTCCCATGATGTTTCCACAGGCCTAGAGACTGGGGTCTCTCCTGCTCCCAGCCGGACCTCGAGAGATTAGCTCTGTGGCTCGGCTTCTCTCTCCTTAGCTCTATTGAGTCAGATTCTTTGTACAGAAAGGGTCTGCAAGTCCTGTTAGCTTTGGGGAAGGAATTGTGGACACAGGCATGAGGCGGAAAGTGGCTCTCCAACTCCTTTCGCTTTTCGGAAGTGGAAGCCAGCCGCTCCACCTGGGCTGAGCTGTCGTCACCACCTTCTCCGTACACCAGGTGAACGTTCTGGTGGTGGAATTTCTCCTTGGTGTGCCCTCTGGCCAAGGCCAGCTTATGCTTATGCTCAGGTAGAGGAAGCTCCCTAGCAGTTCCTACTGGGGAGTGGGGAGCAGCACTAAGGTGGTTTCCAAGTGGCACGTGGTTTCTGACATGGGTCTGAGGTGTGGGTCTTACCATGTAGTGGGGGGAGCTGTTCACAGTGGAACCGGGGAGCACCTTGTCCTCAGAATAGCTGCCTCGGAACTTCAGCGGATGAAGAATCTGCGGCTGCTCTAGTGTCCCTCTCCAGTTTTCACTGGCTGGCACCAAAGACTGCTGGAGCGGAGAGAGGGATTGTGGGAGAGACCTCCCAAGCCTCTCAGCTGCTGCTGCATCGGAGGCATTAGCTGGCCTGGTAGGCCCACTGGTGTTCTGCACAACAAGCTGAGGAGTCCTTAGGGAGAAGGTGGTTTGGAGGTTTTCGCTCCTGTTTGACCAGTTCTCAATGGTGCGTGTGGCGTTCTCCAGGGAGTTCCCCACACTGGCTGTCGACACCATGTTCTTGGCGGCCTGTAGCATCTTCAACACGTTGGCTTGAGCAGAGTTAGCAGTGACGTCTGGTTTGTGGACGCGGGCAGGGCTCTCCAGATTCTGGACTCCATTGAAACAGCTGTAAATGCCCTGGAAAGAAAGAGAAGAGGGAAGGCAGTGACTAAGTAGGCATGTATTGGAAAGGGGATGAGCTGGAGGGTAGAGAGGGCAGGTTGGCTTAATGTTCAAGCTCATGCAGGACAGACATTACAAATACTGAATGACCACATTTTTCTGAGTAAACTGGGAAAATGTTTGAGCAACAAGATACTTGGGTAAGCTAGCTATATTGACAGTCCTACTTACCCTGTTGCAAACCAAGTGCTTCAGCCATTCAAAGGAAATACAGTGGTACCTCAGGTTAAGAACATAATTTGTGCCGGAGGTCCATTCTTAACTTGAAACTGTTCTTAACCTGAAGCACCACTTTAGCTAATGGGGCCTCCTGCTGCTGCCGTGCCACCGGAGCACAATTTCTGTTCTCATCCTGAAGCAAAGTTCTTAACCCGAGGTAGTTTCAGAACTTGGGTGAAAGATCAGGATTCTATTATAAGCTTGGCTGGATCACCAAACAGGGTGGATAAGAAACGCGTTTCCTCCTTTTCTGCTGACCAAGTCCGGTTGTCCAGGAGGTTGTTCATGTCTGACCCCCCAGGCACTCTAGCATTCACAGATCCAACTCCCTCTCGCTACTTCTGGCATTCCAGTCTCCAATTGCCATGTACTGTTTTCTATGAAATATCGCGGGTTTCCTGTTTCGTTTCTTGGAGGTGAAGTAATTCTGTTAAAATGTATCAGGCTTACACATTTGAGAATCACTGTACTAGATTAATTTTATTTCATATGTTTATCGCCTGCTTTCCATCCCTCAGGTTTAAAGATCCTACACTTTCTGAATCCTCGTTATCTGAACTTCAGCCCAGTACACCTGGAGGAGCGTCTCCACCCCCATCATCCAGCCTGGACACTGAGGTCCAGCTCCAAGGGCCTTCTGGTGTTTCCCTCATTGCGAGAGGTGAGGTTATAGGGAACCGGGCAGAGGGTCTTTTCAGTAGTGGTGCCTACCCTGTGGGATACCCCTCCCAGCAGATGTTGTATTGTTTTTATTGTTTTTTGTCGGGAGCCAGTCAGATGGGTGGCATATAAATAATGAATTTGAGTAATAATAATAATTTATTATGTCCCATTACTCTTAAGGGCCCTCAAGGTGATGGCATTCGACAAGATTAAATACCGTATATACTTGGGTATAAGCCAACCCGAATATAAGCCGAGGCACCTAATTTTAGCAGAAAAAACTGGGGAAACTTATTGACTCAAGTATAAGCTGGTTCACCACACCACAAACCTGGTGGTGGCGGCAGCGGCGGAGGAAGGAGCAGCCCAAAAGACTGCTTTCGGGCCGCTCGTCCCTCTACTGCCGCCTCTGCCGCTCGCAGGAGCAGGCATAGGAGCCACGGTTGGGAGAGGCGCAGCACAGGGCAGCGTCTCTCCCAACCGCGGCTCCTATGCCTGCCCTTGCGAGAGATGGGCAGCAGCGGTGGTGGGCCCAGCGGTGAGAAAGGGCTCCTTTCTCACTCGAGTATAAGCCAAGGGGGGCTCCTTCAGCATAAAAAATGTGCTGAAAAAGTCAGCTTATACTCAAGTATATACAGTAACTAACAGTTTAAAGTTAAGAACAGATTGAGGACAGAGGTGACAATAAAAGGCCCTGTAATGAGAAAGGCCTATTCTGATACTAGATATCAATCCAGATTATGTAGAAACAAAGCCACTTCTGGGCCTGCCCCAAGAGGTGGGGTTGCGGGCTTCACGCCCACCCCCCACGTGAGCGGGGGCTGGTTTCATCTCTCTCTTGCTTCTGTTCAACATTAAATAGTTTCAAACACCTATTACTTTGATCAGGTGAGGCACTGGCAGGAAACAGTTAAGGCATTTTATGTTGGAGCAGACAGTGCAGCCTCGAAATGTAAATGCAGTAGAACCAGGAACAGGCAAATCAATTTCCTGGTCTTTTCTCCAGTAAATTTCTAATTGGGAAAAGATTGGTTTTTGATTGGTTTAATTTCAAATACATTTCACACAAATTAAGCAGCAGTGATGCAGTCCTCTACAAATTGCTTCAAGAACCTGTCACAGAGAGCCTTGCTCTGTCTTTCCAGTACTAGGGAAGTGGGTCATGACTGGGCTACAAATACTGATAAGGTGGCTCCTTCAGTGTACATGAGGAGCAGCACACTTGTTGCTTTATCCGCAGGCAGGTTGACTACGGAAGGCTTTCTTGAGCCTGCCCTGTCCACATGTTGCATTTTTGACCTGAAAGAATTGTGGCTGCCTAAGAGCAGACACCCTGCTCAGAAGGAGCAGGGTCAGGCAGCTGTGGGCAGCGTTGTTCATTATCCAAAGATGAGTTCCTAGCAGAAGGTTGTGCCTGGTTGGAGCACTCTTTGTTAACAAGGCCCAGGTGGCCCTAAAGAAAAACGGCACAGGGCAGAGGTGGCTTCTGTTTTTACACTCTGCCTCCTTTGTTAGCTGTGGCCACCATGGGTATCATTACTGCTAACACTGGTTGATATCATTCCTCCAGAACCATGTATGGAAAAACTAATTTCCATTAAATACATTTTCAAATTTAAAATTTCAGGTTCACATGAGGAGGACTGGAAGCTGTCCATGAAACCTGTATGTGTGGAGAATGTGTTCAGCTTATCTTTCGGTTGCTATTTTGTTAATATTGTTAACATTGTTTTATGGATTATAAATGCTGTATTGGTTTGTTAATCATATAATGTGACTGGCTTGAATTGTGATGTTTAGCTTATCCGTATTTTTCGCCCTATAGGACGCACTTTTCCCCCTCCAAAAATGAAGGGGAAATCTGGGTGCGTCCTATGGGGCGAATGCATGCTTTCGCTGAAGCTTGGAGAGTGAGAGGGGTCGGTGCGCACCGACCCCTCTCGCTCTCCAGGCTTCAGGAAGACATCCGCAGCCTAGGCAGCCCTGCGGGAGGTCCCACAGGGCTGTCTAGGCTGCGGATAGCAGCCTGCTACCCGGAGCGTCGGGCACCCTGAAAGCAGAGCGCCCGGCGCTTTGGGAACACATCTACAGTCTAGGCAGCCATGCAGGAGTTTCCCGCAGGGCTCCCCAGGCTGTGGATAGCAGCCTGCCGCCTGGCGGGCGGGGCGCCCTGAAGCAGAGCGGCCCTCGCGCCGGGCAGACATCGGCCAGCCCCACAAGCTCGGGGGACAGCAGGGAGGCGCAGCGCCGCCATCCCGCTATTCCTCGACCTAGTTCGGTTTCCCCAACCTGCTTTTGGGGGGGGGAATAAAGGGAAATTTTTTTCCCTTTATTTCCCCCCCAAAAAACTAGGTGCGTCCTATGGGACGGAGCGTCCTATAGGACAAAAAATACGGTAGTTGTTGATTTGTACCGTATTTTTCGCACCATAGGGCGCACCCAGTTTTTTGGGGGGAAATAAAGGGGAAAAAATTATTTCCCCCCCAGGCGCGGGGCTGGGGCGGGGGAAGCTCGAGCTTCCCCGGACCCCAGCCCCCAAACAGGCAGCTCTCTGCAAGCCGTGGGAGCGCTCCCGCTGCTTGTGGAGAGGTCCGCGAAGCCTGGGCGCGCTGATCTCAGCGCGCGCAGGTTTCGGCATGCTGGCAGCTCTCCGCAAGCAGCGGGAGCGCTCCCGCTGCTTGCGGAGAGGTGTGCGAAGCCTGGAGAGCGTGAGGGGTCGGTGCGCACCGACCCCTCTCACTCTCCAGTCTTCAGTGAAAGCCTGCATTCGCACCATAGGACGCACACACCTTTCCCCTTCATTTTTGGAGGGGGAAAAGTGCGTCCTATGGTGCGAAAAATACGGAAAATTTTATAGATTGCAAATGTTCTACGGATGATTTGTTAATTATTCTATGAGATTTATGTTGTATTTGTGATGATCTGTAATGTTAGTGTTATTTTTTGTTTGTAAGCTGCTTTGGGATTTATTTGAATGAAAAGCAGCAAAGAAATATAATAAATAAAAAATAATTCATTTAAGCCACCTGCATACTCCCTGTTTTGAAAGTGAATAATAGATTGTTTTTAACCATTCCTGGTATGAATGTGGGGACAGACCAGGAATCAGACAAAGTGAAACTGAATTATTGGCTTATTCCACCTCCCAACTACAGGAGAGGAGAGGGGAATGCTTGAGCTATCACTTTGCACTGGTTCCTTCTTTTGTACTTATGCATGCAGGGCAACACTGTGGTTTAAGCCCTCTGTTCAAATATGACCAGTGGCTTGGAAGAATAAACTGTCTATGTGTCACATTAGGAATAATCTCAAAGGGGACATAGAAGGGGTATGTACATATCTACATGGCATCCTTACCCTGCTTATAGCCAGAAGGAAATCCAGCTTGTGAGACTTGGGTACAGAATGTCTCAGCTTCCAATAGACCAGGTGTTCCCAGGCAAAGACGAGCAGGCTCAGCCCCATAGCCACCAGCAGCATGTAGAAGACGCCTGCCATGTTGTCAATGTCCAGCTTGCTGCTCATCACCTCGTTCTTCTCATTTTGGCAGATCCCTGACAACCACACAGTCTCTAGCTTCTGTGTTTCACCTGGGAAACAAATAACAAGAAGGGAAGACAGTCAAATCCTAGCAAAGGGATCTCCTCTGATTGACATCACAGATAGCTGAACCTGAAGAAATTTAGATTATTTTTGGCTTGTAGTATTCATTGTCCACCTCAGTCAAGACACCCATGGCTACTCAAGTAAAATTTCCTGTGTTCCCATGATCTTCCATAGGACTAAGCATTTCTGGAGGTCTATACCATGGAAAAACCTTTCCCCAGACAACAGAGCTTAAATTTAAGATTACCAGCTTCATGGGCTTTATAGTATAATCCTAGAACTGTAGAGTTGGAAGGGACCACGTGGGTCACCCCATTATATAAAGCTCCTGTGTACAAGTGCAGAGTGCATTTCCTTAATCAGGCCAGAAGGTATAGTCTCCACCCAGGCCAGAGTCCTGGGAGCAGCTGTCCACATGTGGGATGTTCACCCCGTGCTCTTCACTGTCGCCCCACCACGGAACACCTCTCTGCTTTAAAACACAAGAAGCAGTGTTCAGAGAAGAGACAACAAGTCAAGACTGTGTGACAGGAACTCATTAAAGGGACTCTCTGATGTGTGCTTTAAGCTTATTTGCTTTTGTTCATATAACAGCATATTTGTCATTGATCATACGTATAAGTGTACAGACCTTCCCTTTTCCTCTCCTTTTCTCATAGCCTGTCTCCTTTTCTGGCTCTCTGATCCCCCATTATGTTCGACATTTCCTTAAAACACTTCCATCTGAACTCCCCCAACCCTGCACACATTTTTTTTAAAAAAACAAAACATTTTTTGCACACAGATCACTTGCTAAGGTCTCCAGAGTGACAAGAGAGCTTTATTTCCTACTGAAGGGAAGAGAGAGTGATTTCAGGGCGAGATAACTTCCCAGACACCTGACAAGGAGACGTTGTGCTTGATTTAATGTGGACTACCAAACGGTGTGGCAGGGAGGAACAGCGCTCTGAAACCTTCTCAGAATTCTCCCGAATGGCCAGAAAGGAACTTTGGTCACAGGCTGGCGGCTCAGTGGAGAGAGCCAGAATCTGAGCATACAGTTGTCCTAGCACCCTGGGGCAAAGCAGTCAGCAAGACAGAATCGACGGGAGGCACTGCCACATGGTGGTCAGGAAATTGGGTCAAGGAGACAACCGAGGCCTAAATACATGCAGCAACTGTAACACAAACGGGAGCCCTGGCCAGCAGCAACACAAGGAAAAAATATATATTGGAGGAGGCATAATAGGAGAGGATGCATGGGGGTGGGGGCAAAGTTTGTCCCACATGGGATAAATGATCCCACCCACAAACATCATACAGTGGTACCTCAGGTTAAGAACTTAATTCATTCCGGAGGTCCGTTCTTAACCTGAAGCACCACTTTAGCTAATGGGGCCTCCTGCTGCTGCCGCACCGCCGGAGCACAATTTCTGTTCTCATCCTGAAGCAAAGATCTTAACCCGAGTGTCAGGGGCTCAGGAGCAGAGGCACAGGGGAGAGAGCAGATGGAGAGCGAAGGGGAAGAATCTGAGGGCAGCGGAGGGGAGAATGACAGTGACCCGAGAGATTCCATGAGCCTCTCCAGCGAATCAGAAGATTCCCAGAAGGGGGCGCCGATGGCCAGGGCAAGGGGGGTCCCAGGGAGGACGCACCAGAAGCAAGGGGCCAGCGGGGACTCCCAAAGCAGCAGCTGGAGATCAGGACCAGCTTCCCCACCAGAGCGTAGCGGGGGGGAAGGGTCCCATGTGTCAGGGCCAGCGTCTCCCCCAGCAGGGAGAGAAGATGAGTCAGGGCTGACCACGCCTCTATCGGAGAGCGGGGGAACAGAGGGGAGGTCAGATCCAGCTAGCCTCCCGAAGGGGGGAGCAGTGACAGGAGCAGTGTAACGGTCAGGAGGAAGGTGACCGGCTGGGCGCGCGCGCCAAGTTCGAATGTACAGGCGCGCGGGACAGCAGAAAACCCGGATTGGGAACCAGGTCCTAAAGCCCGCCGGAGGCAGGGGGAAGACTCAGAGGACTCAGCGTCAGAAGAGTCTAGGAAGGGCAAGACCCCAGCGGACAGGCGGAACCAGAGGAGGAAAGAGCAAAGGAAGAGGTGGAGCAAGGCTAGAGTCTTAAACTGGTGTCTGGGGGGAGGAGATTCAGACGGAGCTTCAGCGGTCTAGAGTTTCAGACGTAGAGCTGCGCGCTGCGGCTGTGAAAGCGAAACTGAGCTTCAATAAAGACTGTTTTATATAACAACAAACTGGCGTTGGTCCTTTGTGAGCTGGGACCTAGGGCAGCTCTGACACCGAGGTACTATTTCTGGGTTAGCAGAGTCTGTAACCTGAAGGGTATGTAACCCGAGGTACCACTGTATAATTGTACTAATTTTGATGGTGTAGGGCTGAACTCCTAACCCCATTTAATTGGGAGCAAGCCCTACTGAAGTCAGTAGACATGTTTAGGAATGCAGCCTTAGCTTTCAAGTAAACATGTTTAAAATTGCAGCTTCAATTTAAATTCCAGTTTATCATCCAGTTATTATTTGCATGTGAAAATGCCTTTTAAAGCAACCGCTATAGTGGAGGGAGGGAGGGTGAGGGACTTGTGAGGGGGTGGCCATCCTTGTGCCTCTTTTGCCCCTCAGGGTCTGAGGTTTTGGACAGGCTGTTGGAAGTTTTTTTTTGGGGGGGTGCGGGTTTAACGCCTTCATATTTTAAAAATAAATACAATTTTAAATAAACACAGAACTGTTGTGATTGTGCCAGGGAACATGGAGGGGTGGATGAGAAAGTGGAAAGAGGAGAGAGGGAATAAAGATTAAGTAGGGTTCAGCCTTTGTGTTTGTGAGGCAGTTGTGGCCAGGTGTCCCCCCCCCCCCCCCGGCAACCTGTTAAGACAGAGGTTTTCTTGTTCTGTGACCCCTTGGAGAAAAATACATAGGAGACTACTGGTAACTACCCCTGAGGATGAGGAAGCAAAGTGTGTTTGCGGGGAGGAGACAGAGAACTACTTACCATCTCCCAGGAATTGTAGGAGGGCTAAATCAATTGGCCTCTTCCATTTGGAGTCCTTCTGGAGGGCAATGCCATAGCCGGTGGTGGCAAAGACTTTCCCGCTGCCAATGGTCACCAGTTTGCAACCCTCATCCTTGCCCGCCATGTAGTTGAGCACTGCGGCATCATATATAAATGCATCCAGCTTTCTGGAATCAAGCAGAGAGAGAGAGATGGAGAGAGAGGGGGGGGAATTAAGGGACAGCAACTACAAAAGCCACATGGGGGGGGTTGGTAAGCTAGAAGGTCACACAGTGCCAAGTGCCAGGCTATAAAATGATGCAAGAAAGCAAGCAAAGCTGTTCTCATCTGTGGGCTTGACCATATTTGTAGGACAGCCCCAGAAGCTTCAATCCAATAGAAAAAGTGCTACGCTGAGAGTAACCTAGTCTTGCAGTGCAATCAAGGGACAGGAGAAGACAGCATATGTCATCGTCTTGCTTGCAATTTTTCGGAAACAACTCGTGCCTCTCTTAACACTGAAGATGGGGACTGCATACTGTTCAAACAATTCATGTAAAAAAACCAGTTCACAAAATGGTGATATCTAGCATATTCTCCAGGGCAGCCACAACTGTAATAGTTTGGAAAATAAATCACATTTTCCCCAGCTGCAAAATCTCACAGTTTGAGTGATTGGGGGGCAATCACTTTCTCCATATCAAAAGTATGGCCTTGGGGGAAAGCAAGCATTACCCCACTGTCATAAACAACAGGGCAGTCACTGTCCATAAAAACAATTTCACAGAAATACGCTTAGAAACTAACTATCAGGCTGTGGCTGCAGTCGTGTGCTCCCTTTCCTGAGAGCAAATTCCATTGAACTCTGGAAAGCAGCAAGGACTGCTTGGCTTGGGCCTGTGCACGCACAGCTGCAGCTTTGCAGCTCCTGCAGCCCCACCTTGAAATGCTTAGGCAGAATGTGACATACATGCATGCTGCAGCCTAGGGCAGGTGAGTACAAGAACTGGCTTGAGAGCTTTCACTCCCTTGGTTTTAGAATACCACATCACACTCAAGCTTCATTGTGCTGTGCAAGTTGCCTTTTAAAAAGGACAACAAGAGGTCAACAGATCAAAGGATTAGCAACAGAGGGATGAAAGAAAGAAATGGAGCAAATGAAATTAGAGGGTGAATTAGAGGCTGGTTGCAGAGAGAAGACTCTCCTACTAATAAGTAATACATTCGAAATCTGAACTTCCAGAAACTGGAAACGTGGAGACGTCTGTTGCTAGAATTAGGAAGCACTAAATATTTCGAGGCTTGTTAGCTACAGGAGTGAAACCAGCATTCACTGTGGAACCCACCCATCAGGCACCAAAGGAAACCTCTATAAAGATGCTTGAGAACCATTGTTTTGATTGATCTAGCAGCTTGCAGGGGTATCAAAATTGTTAAATTTTGCATCACATGTAAAGACAGGAAGCTTACATGTGATACACACATATTCCAAAACATCCAGATTGTTAGAAAAGTCTGAAAACAAGATATTTGGGCATCTCACGGCCAGCACTCGGTCTGTGACATTTACCTCACAACAGCAGCAAGCAAACTTCCACCCAGAATAAACATAATCGTGTTTGGACAGAATATAGATACCCAGTTCACATGTTTGTGGAGTCTGACTGAGAGAAGGGATTCACAGTGAGAACCAGGAACTTAAGTCAACACTCTCACAGAGAGTAAGCCAGCTATGTGACAGAATACTGAAACGTAGTCATCATTAGCAGAGAGCTTCTTTATGGTTTAATCTCACACAGCATCAAGCGTGCAGAGAAACTTCAGTCAATAAAGATCCTGTTCATAGGATGGTGACTTGATCAGGTTGCTATGGGCTGCCCATTTTTGACACGGTGGCCAGTCCTGCGAATGCCCCAAGGAAGTGGTCAGAAATGCAGCATGCCATAGTGTCAATCTGTGTGAGAGGCATACAGGAACATTCACAAAACTGATCAGAAGGTTTGCCTGAGTCTGCCATCACTGAAGCAGAAGCTCACAAGCAAACAGAAAACAAGAACCAGAAGCTGAAATGGGCCAGTTCCAACAACCAACTTCAACGTCATTATTGAAGTATATGCCAGTATATTTACTTATCCTGTTATATTTGCTAGGGCTGGCCATGAATGAACTCAATGTGGCACAGAAACCTTGAGGCCTTCTTGCACGCTGCTCTTTCTTAGGGGGAAATGCTGCAACCTACCCCATTTTGAGGCTGACCAGGGCATCCTCCACCGAGCGCTGGTTGTACTTCACCATGTGCGAGTGCATGTCATGGTAGTTGCTCCGAATGTTCCTCTCGGTGCTGCCATTGGGAACTGTTCCAAACCGGAATGGGGGGTACTGCTCCTGAGGCCTTTGAAACTGGGAAGGACACCACAAAGACAAGTCTGTTGCCAGATCCAGAATGGAAACAGCATCCCTCTATTCAGACTTGAGGATGCGCATTTCAGAAAGGACTCTGGGCTCCTCCAACCTAACTATTGAGCGTTCAGCCCTGAGTTGCTTGCACAAAGCTTAGTTGGAGGTTAGACCTGGCCCTTACTGGGCACTTGTTCGAATTTGTTAGTGGGAAGGTTATACAACCTTCATCATGGATTCATCCTGATTTGTTTGTGCAGTGGTTATATGTCTTCCCATTAAATCAACTGTTCATCCCACAGTTTTCAATGCATTTCCTTGCCACTTTCCAAACCAAACAAAAAACTAATCCTTGTTTTAAAAAAAACCACAGATTTGTTTGCACCAGGGTGACAGAACCCTTTAATCCACTTGAATGGCTGCAAACCTAAATTTTAGGTATGTGCTTAAATCTCTCCTACAAAATAGTTTTTATTTAATGTATTGCATTGTAACCCATCTTTGCTCAAAACGCTCAAGATAGCATACATAGTTGTTCTCCTCCTCCCCTATATTACCCTCACAAACAATCCTGTGAGGCAGGTTAGGCCGAGAAGGAGTGACTTGACCAAGGTCTCTGAGTGACCTTCATGGCAGAGGGGGGATTTGAACCCTGCTCTCTAAAGTCCTGGTCCAACACTCTAACCACTGTATAAAACTGACAGTCTGGAGGCAACCTGAGTGTGTACTTCAGTACCACCGTTGTAGCATAATTTTCTACATAATTGTCTACATTTACTTATTTCAGTTTAAACAAAAAAATTCCTTCCAGTAGCACCTTAAAGACCAACTAAGTTAGTTCTTGGTATGAGCTTTCGTGTGCATGCACAGATACTGAAGAAGTGTGCACACGAAAGCATGCACACGAAAGCTCATACCAAGAACCTGCATGCACACGAAAGCTCATACCAAGAACTAACTTAGTTGGTCTTTAAGGTGCTACTGGAAGGAATTTTTTTTGTTTTGACTATGGCAGACCAACACGGCTACCCATCTGTAACTTATTTCAGTTTATAGTCCATGTTGCAACAGTGTCTTGGGAGCCAGTAATACAGAGGTCAGAAACTTTGAGAGTAAAAAAGCAGAGCCATTGAGTTATCTTCAGCCTTAGGTGGGCACAGAAAGGGACACTTTTGTGTGGGCTTAATTTTCCTTGGTAACCAAAAGCTATCAGGTTTCCTCTAGCTGCTTACCAAAGCCAGCAAATGTAACCAACTTGAGTTTATGTCCTGCCATTCAGTCAGCACTAGCACATCTTCCTTGTGGGATATTCCAAGCTACAAAATGTTGCACCCATGGCTTAAGCACTTGACCTTCATTCCCTTTGCCACCATTGCTCAAGCATTCCTCACCTTCTTATCGCTGAGCCCAGAGACAGTATCAATGTATTGCTCTTGGATCATGAAAGCTGCCAGGTTAGCAGTGTAGCTGGCCAGGAAGATGACGGCGAAGAAAGCCCAGATGAGCACCATGATTTTACTTGTAGTCCCTTTGGGGTTTTCAATAGGAACGGAGTTGTTGAAAACCAGAGCCCAGAGCAGCCAGACGGACTTGCCAATAGTGAAGGAAGGCCCCCCAGATTCTAGAAAAGATGGAAGGGAAAGCGATTTGTAGGCAGCAGGTTTTTCCTGCTAGAAATAAGCCTTTTTCGTTGCATTGTAAGCTTTTGGAAGTAAAACATGTGCATTTTATTTACTTTGGAGATCTCTGCTGAAATATTTCTGGCCGCCATTTCTGCTAAGGCTCATCACGTGAGCAGGATTTGCTTTGGGAAGGGATTGCTTCTTCCACTTGCTAAGCAAAGACATGCACTTGTATTTAAAGATGTAGGCACAGCAGAGTTTGACAAGCAGAAGGTCAAGAAGGAGAGAACCAGGGCAATCCAGAACCCAACAGTGTACTTAAGAGACCTCATAATCTGTTTGACCTTTGTGGGATTGCAACAATTGCTGCAACCTTTTTGTTGCTCAGCTCAGACACAGTATTGAGAATGCTGGCAGATTAGCAGCAGAGCTTGAAGAAGACCCAAATAAGCACCACGATCTTACTTGGAGTGCCTTTCCAGTATAATCTATTGAGAATTCTGAGAATCTTCATCATTTATTGTTTATAAGTTTCTAGACCCTATGACTACAGGGGAAAGCTTCAAAACCCAAACAATTAATGTGGGGCTTCACTTCAGCAGATCTCAGACTTTCTAGGACCACCCTGCTGAGAGCCAGAGGGCCCTGCTCCTGCCTCTCTCCACCTGGCCCAGGGCAGGGCCTGACAGGTTTTATAAGGGCGGCTGCTGCTGCTCAGCAGAGAGGGCTTCTTTTTTTATATCCTTTTAAATTGTTTTTTTAACTGTTTTAAAGGGCATTTTTTGCGATGTGCCTGGGAGGAGAGGAGCGGGGGAGAGCAGGGGGAGGCCCAATTGCAGCAGTTCTGGGCAGGGGGAGGTATGGCGTGGGAGGAGGGGCAAGCTGCGTGAGGGGCACACAGCACAGGCAGTTAGTGACTGCCGTGTACCCGTCTCCCCTCCAACCTGGGGAATTGTGATTGTCATATCAGCCAGCCCTCGGGTCTGCGACTGCTGCTGTTGGAATGCCAGAATAAAATCTCCCTCATCCATGATCTGATTATGGATGAGGAGGCTGATCTGGAATGTATCACTGAAAAACCTGGGTGGGTGAACAGGGTGGAGTTGGTCTCACCCAGCTGTGCCCACCTGGGTGCAGCATCAGGCCAGACTCAAGGGTCGGGGAGAGGGAGTTGCTGTGGTCTATAGAGATTCTCTATCTCCAGGCTCTCTGTCCAGTTATAGGGATCTAGAGTGTGTGTTCCTGGCATTGGGCAATCAGGACAGATTAGGGAATCTGCTGGTTTACCGCCCACCTCGCTGCCCAGCAGTCTCCATGCCTGAGCTGACAGAGCTGGTCTCAGGGGCAGTGCTGAGGAGTCCCAGACTGCTGGTTCTGGGAGACTTCAACATCCATGCCAAGGCAGCTGGTTCTGGGGTATCTCAGGACTTCATGGCCGCCATTGACAACCATGGAGCTGTCCCAACATGTCACCAGCCCAACGCACATGGCAGGCCACACTCTGGACCTTGTTTTCTTGACCCGGCAGGAAGAAGGTGATTTGAAGGTGGGGGACATTGACTCATCATGGTAATAATGAGGCCAAAGGAGGGACGGTGGCACAGTTAGGAACGTTTGCGAGTTCTTCATATTTCCATTTCCCTCCTGTTTGCAGTTATGATATTCTGCTGCCATTTCTAAATTAAGAATGCAACAATACTGAACAAACCAGTCAAAAAACAAAAAAAACCCACCCTAAAATCAAAAACCCAGAATGTTTAGAATGGTTCAAAGGCAGCTTCCAGTGAGAGGAAGGAAGCAGCAGGGTACCAGCCACTCTCACCAGCCAGAGGTTTGGTGTTTTTTTTACAGAGTTGGATGATGAAAGCTAAAAATAGGTTGTATATTTTTATTCCAGGCTATTCTCTCCTTGTAGCTACCAGTCTCCTCCTGACTTCCAGCATCTTTTACCTTTGTTTGATCCACCTTCAGCAGCAAATTCTCAGAGGTCAAGTGGGACGATGGCATTTGGGGAGCTCTCCCGGGGAAAAGGCTAGCCAAAGGTGGCTGGAGGGGGTGTGGGGGTGTGTGGGACCTATCTCTCAGCATCCGAGGAGCCTTTTCATTCCCCACATGTCAGGATGTGTAAGTTTTAATGAGCATTTATCAAGGGCAGGGATGGTAGGATTGGCCTGGGGCTGACAGCTTCTCCAAGCAGCTGTGAGAAATCTTCTGCCCAGCTCACTTAAGACGCGGAAGCTGTTAACAGGAGGAGCCGCTCACGGAGTTTACAGGCGAGCCTACAAATCAGGCTGGCTGATCCAGCCAGCTGTTGACAGTTCAGACACAAAAGATGCTGACATGACTCAGAGCTGGATCGGATCAGCCTGCAATGGATGCATTTGTTTCTTTGCACAGAAGCCCAGGACAGACTGACCTAAGGCTGCTGCCCTTGCAGGAGGAACACTTCAGGACCAGCTCCTGGGTGATCAGGAGGGCTTCCTTGGTACCCTCTAGACTGATTCGGAAGAGATCCAAAGGCACTATATCCTACAGGAAGGAGTCAAGGCACTGTCTCTAAACAGCCTTCGCAAGTGCCGACTACCAGATGCAATCTGGTGCCTTCCATAGCTGCAAAGAAGCCAGAATTTCTGCAGCTTTGTCATGCAGAGGTGAGAAAATCTGCATTGACATGTTCCCTTCTGTGCATCTATTTTAAAGGAACAGGAGCCCTGGTCCATCTATACACATGTAAATAAACAGGACAGAGAGTCCTGTCAGTGTTCGTATAGTTTGCTTGAAAGGCTCCTGGGTCTCTCTCCCCACAGCAGGGGACTCTAAGTGGGCATTTTGGGTGCTTTTCAGTTTGCTCTCCTAAAATCTAAAGGGTTGTTTTTCCAGATTTTGTCACGAACTGCAGAAAATGTCTGGCAGGTCTTAAATATTTAACAACGTCGAATGGCACATATTTCAGCGGAGATCTTTACCAGTCTCATTTGCCACATTTCCGTTCTCTTGTTTGGGGTTTACGTGCGCACATGGAAATATTATCGGTGCTGGTGGTGTGAAAATGACGGTGACCATAAAGAAATAAATATCGTTGGGTCGCCACAGAGTGCTGTACCGCACCCTGGTTTTGCTGGGTAAAGGAGATGTATGGAAATGCCATGACTAAAGTACGTAAATAAATGGAGGAATCCTTACACCAGAAACTGGAATGCCATGGGACTCTTGTGGTGGGGAGGCGGAGAAATCCCACCTGCTGGAGATTGCCATGGGCTCTCTTTCCAAAGGTCAAGGCTTTCGATGAGACACTGAGAATTGTTTATCTTTTGCAACTGTTTAAATGTGGAGTGTATAATAGCAGGGTGGCTCATGCTTATTACATCCTGCTTTTTGTCATTGCCCCCACCAAAAAAATAAGGCTCACTTGCTGTGCGCAATTTTGGAAACTTACTTACTTTTGCCACTGGTTAAATTCTGGTTGTAGCCAACAGGGCTGAAATACTCAAACATGAAGACTGTGATGGCAACGACAGTGAGACACATCACAAACATCATCACCCACACGGCTGGACTGTAGGGTTCTAGAAGACAAGAGGAAGCCAGTCAACCCAGGGCAAGTGACAGGTTAAGAGTCACCCATCGATGCTACAAACACCCCCTCCCTGCCCACTGATAGAGAGAAAAGATGGTCCGATAGACAGCAGGAGACTTCCATTCAATGCCTGCTGAAGTCAACATGTGCTGTGAAATGCACCTCTATTGTGCTCATTCTTTGCGTGTGACAATAGGAGTTGCGAGTGTGATTTGCAATGAATTGTTGCAGCGGGGAGTGCTTCCATTCACTGCACCAGACAACCCGCCACACCCTCCCCAATATTGCCACCCTCTTCTCCATGGTTTGATTCTGCTATGGCTACATTAACACCCCAAACGTCAGAAGCACAGAGAACCAGTGAGACCTGCAACAAAACATTACAGAGTGGAGGACTCATTTTCATCCTCTCCTCCTCTCCCCAAACCAAACAGTCTGTCATCATTCAGTGGCCTCTGACTATGCTTGGTCCCCCTTGGGCTGTTTTGTGGGACTCCCCACTCTTCTCTCTTTTTTCTTTAAATACTCCTGTGAAGTGGGGTTCCCCTGAGCTTCCTGGTGGACCACCCTCTCAGTGTCAGTCTGAGCACTGAAAATGGAAAGAACGGTGATTGTGTGTGTAGTGATGCTGATAACAGGTTTGGGTGAATATTGGCTGCTGTGGTGGCACTGTTGAAGTGCACCCCAGTACCAGTACCAAACACCATGCAGGACTTACAAGAGCCCATATTATGAGTAGGCCAGCAGTAAATAACACTGCTCAAGCTGGAGTTGAGTCTTCATTAGTCAGAACACAGTCTGCACAGACTTGGTGCAGTGTCAGGCCTAATGAGCACAGCAACTTAGCCCCATGGATCATGTGCTGAGACCGAAAGTCCTTGTCTACCCACAGTCATCAAAGTTCCCTCCTCTCCAGGGCTTTTCCCAAGCAATCAGAGACTGCGCCGGTGTGAAGCCAACCTCTCCTCCACCCTTTTCATGCCCCTTCTAGTTCTTGTAGACAAGGAGGGAGGGGAGCTTTTCACAGCAGGAGAACAAGACACCAGCTTGACTCATCTCTCTGCCTCTTGTCCTCCCTCATCCCACTCGCCTGCTTCAGCTTCTGCCTCTGATTCTGGACTTCCCTCTGACACTGATTCTCCCAGCTCACTTAGCCTTGTTGCCTCTTTAGCTTCCAAAACCTCCTTCTCCCAGTCTTCTCCTTTTGACCACTCATCATCATCCCACCACCAATCCCCTGGCGCTGATCCTTCTTCCCTTGAGGGTCCCCCAGTTGGTTCCTCCCACCGTTTCTCTGCACCCAATTACAGCCCAAGAGACACAGGAACCATTTTAAGACAATATGCTGCTGCTGTTGCCCTGGGTACTCAATGGGGGCGGGGGGAAACTCTGTCCCCAATCTATGCGAGTTCATTAAATATCTGAATGAAGACAGGGAGACAGGCAGAGTCTGCTACTGGAGGCCCCTTCATTTAGCAGGGAGAGAAGCATCAGGTATGGAAAGAGTTAGAGTAGTACAACCACCCCTGGTGATAGGTGCTTAAAGAGTCAACTTCACTAAAATTTATGTACGTAACCCTTCCATAGCACCACACCACACAAACACTTGCGTCATCCACAGCGATGGTTTTGACAACAAAGCAAAGGAAATTAAGGTGACACCCAAGACCTTGGAAGATGTCCTTATCAAGCTGGAAAAGGCTGTTCATTCCCCATCTCTACAGGACATTTATTTTCTCTCTCCCCAGTGCTGTCAATAGACAGACACGAGTAAGAAATTTGGTTGTTGTGTGTGCCTATTATATTCACATTCATAGAATCATAGTGTTGGAAGGGATCCCGAGGGTCATCTAGTCCAACCCCCTGCAATACTGGAATCTCAGCTAAAGCACCCATTTGCTGCATTCATAGGTTGCAGCAGATACCATAGAGTGTGCAACTAATGTCCATCAGGTATGTCCTAGGGAGTCCTCTCCCCATGTGAACGGACCCAGACCCTGCAAACATCGTCTAAGGCAGTGTTTCCCAACCTTTTTTGGGCAAAGGCACACTTGTTTCATGAAAAAAATCTCGAGGCACACCACCATGCCAGATGGGGAAAGGTCACTTTTTACTTATGTAAAAAAAATAAAAAAAAATAGTAACAGCATAGAAGGTAATGGTTAGGCTAGCATCCCTCTTCCAAATATGCTAGGTTTTTATTTGCAGGGACTGTTCTACATGGGAAAGCATTCAGCACTGTCATTCTCCCATCTGCCATCTGAATTGGTACTATTCTGGGTCAACTTACTCTGCTGCATGTGTAGATGAAAATGGCACCAAGTGTGGGGGAGGGGGCAGAACAGGTTTCAGATACAGGATATTAAGCATACACGTACTTCAGATTGAACTGGTTGCTTGCTTTCCCAAATGACTGCCTTGGCAAGCGCAATACCTACCAGGCTCAACGCCGGTCTCGCGCTGCCACTTCCCGCGCTCTCAAGGACCCGGGAGGAGGAAGGCGTGAAGGGAATCCCGAAGGCGCGAAAACCTCGCGCATGCGCAGGCCTTCCGCCTGCGACAGCCCAGTAGGCCGGCCGAAGCGAGCGGCGATGGGATGTGGGAGGGAGCTCGCTCGCCGCCCCGCGTGTGCCTATGTGGGGCACGTTACAGCCCCGTGACGTCAGCGCCATGCAGGCAGCCAGGCAGGCAGACGGCGAGAGCCCCGCGCTGGGCGGCCTCTCCTCGCCGCCGCCGCCCCGCCTCTCGCCGCCCGACTCGCCCGCCTCCCTCCAGGCAACATCTCGCGGCACACCAGGCAACGTCTCGCGGCACACTAGTGTGCCGCGGAACACCGGTTGGGAAGCACTGGTCTAAGGCCCTTCTTTGTGCGCCGTCTCCAAGAGAGAACAGGCCTTTTCTACAGTGGCTTCCCTTGTTGTTAAATGTTCTCCCCCTCCTTGGGGGCGCCTTCATTGTGTATATTTAGGCACCAGGTGAAAATGTTTCTCTTCAACCAGGTATTCGGCTGATTAACATTCGATTTTTTAATGTGTTTGTGGAAGGTGAGTTTGGGGTTTGTTTCTGTCTTTGTTTTATTGTGTATTTTGTATTCTCATTCTTTATTTTTCTGTTGTGAACAACCCTGGGATCTTTGATTGAGGGTGGAATACAAATTTAATACAAAATAGTAAATAATAATAATAATAATAATAATAATAATAATAATAATAATAATAGTTCCAAATTAGGCCAGATCTTTCTTTATTTCCCCCTCTGAAACTTAATGGAACCAGAGTCTTTACTTGAAAATCTCTATTGAACCGAAAGCTTCAATGTTTCTCTGCAAGGTAACCTCTTGGTGAGAAAATCTCTCTCCTTTTCTGTGAAGGGTGGGGCGTGGGGGGTGTTAGGAAGATGGGCCCACCGTGCAGGACTGTCAGTAAATATTACTATTCCCAAAGCTAAGGCTGAAGCATTTTCAGGAGCATTTAGGAACCCTAAGCCACATTTTAAAGCTGTAAGAATGAACAGGCTCTCAAGTCAACGGGATATTTTTCAACACAACACACCCCAAAGCTACTTGTCTGCCTTTATCAGAACAGAAAAATTAATATGGTTTTCCCTTCACCTGTCAAATGCGGTTTTGCACACCAAGGTGTATGAACAGAATGTGCTTTGCAGGGCTGAGGCAGAGAATGAGAAATACCAACCCCGTGACCAGTTGCTTCAGAGTATGAAATATTTTCCCGTCCGGGGCTGGTATTTTGTGAGCAAAGAAAGAAAGAAAACAAAACCCACCACAATGACTTTAAAGGTAATTTTGGGGCAGCAATATTTATCAAATTCCTTATGAAGATAGTGGGAGGGAAATTATAAGCACAAATTGTAATACAATGATGAAGTATACAGGAAATCTCCAAGCTTCCGGCGCATCTTACAGATGTGCTTAATTGCACAGAAAGAGGAAAAAACATATTATAAAGGCATCTCATTCTGTTAGTAATTACTCTGATGTAACGCTTTTGTTTATGTAATTTGGATACCCACGGACATATTACAAGAGGCTCAGTTGCAAGATTACAACCTGGTGATTTGCTCTACCTCTTTAAGGACTGAAATCCTTGCCCTGCAGGTCCAGCATGGGGGGGGGGGGCATGAAAAGGTTGTAAAGGGCAGAGAAGAAACAGATGAAGCCGTAGCTGCTACATTTTCCACCTAGTTCTAAAGCAGGAGTGGAGAACCTGTAGTCTCCCAGATGTCAGTGGACTACAACATCCCTGGGTTGTGCGTGTAAGTTTTGTAGGATTCGGCTCTCCCCCTGCCCTGCTTTTCAGGCTCTGGTTATTGGAAAATGGGTTTAATGAACACTTTTGCCTGTGACCTGCAGTCGGAGAAAGAAGCTGTTTCTGCCCCTGGGTGAGAGAACCTGTTTCTGCGCACCAGGAGAGTCAAAAGAGAAGTGAGTGCATGAAGGTGGCTTGATTAATGGCTTCTCTGTGTCTTTGCCACAGGTTAACCAGTGTTCTCAATGTCTTTTTCATCAGTGCTTGGTCAGCAGTGAGGGAACTGTGGCCTTCCAGAGATTACCGGACTACAACTCCCATCATCCCCGACCGTTGGCCCTGCCAATGGGAGCCAAAGTCCAGCAGCATATGGAGAGACACAGGCTCCCCATTAGGCGTGGCGATGCAGCAACCGGACTCGTGACTGGATGCAAAAACACCAAGGTAAAAAACACTAAGTTGCTGGCATCTGTCTATCTCGGGAGACAATGGAGGAGTGCTCCTTTGGGGGTGAAGTCCAACCGTTCGTTGGAAGGTTACAGCGCCTGCTGTGGCTGTAGAGACTGATAGGGGAGAGACATGTTTTGTTGCAGCTGGGGCAGGTGAAGGCATCCAGTTGTGCTGCTGCAGATGCACCATGCCGTTTCTTCTGTCTGCGCTCCTCCCACCAAACATTCCTCCTCTGGTCACTGGTAAGGATGCACGACCTGACTGGCCGTCTCCA